AGCTTGTACTTCTGGGAGTTCTCGGTCCACATACTGCTGAAGTCTACCTTGGAGGATTTTGAGCATAACCTTGCTAGCGTGGGAAATGAGTGCAATTGTACGGTAGTTGGAACATTCTTTGGCACTGCCCTTCTTTGGGATTGGGATGTAGACTGATCTTTTCCAATCCTCTGGCCACTGCTGAGTTTTCCAAACTTGCTGGCATATTGAGTGTAGCACCTTAACAGCGTCATATTTTAAGATTTTAAGTAGTTCCACTGGAATGCCATCACCTCCTAGTCTTGTTGTTTCTAAGGCTCACTTGACTTTGCTCTTCGGGATGTCTGGCTCAAGGTCAGCAATCACATTATTTGGGTTGTCTGGATCATCCAAATCTTCCTAGTATAATACCTCTGTGTATTCTTGCCCCCTCTTGATGTCTTCTGCTTCTGTGAGGTCCCTCCCATTTTTGTCCTTTATCATGTCCGTCTCTGCACAAAATGTTCCTTTCATATCTCCAATTTTCTTGAACAGATCTCTGGTTTTTCCCTTTCTATTATGTTCCTCTATTTCTTTGCACTGTTCATTTAAGAAGGCCCTCTTGTCTCTCCTTGCTATTCTTTGGAAGTCTGCATTCAGTTTTCTGTAACTTTCCCTATCTCCCTTGCAATTTGTTTCCCTTCTCTTTGCTGGCATTTGTAAGGCCTTGTTGGACAGTCACTTTGCTTTCTTGCATTTCTTTTTCTTTGGGATGATTTTTGTTGCTGCCTCCTGTACAATGTTATGAGCCTCCAACCATAGGTCTTCATGAAAAGCAATACTACCTATTTAAAACTATTTTTGTCCCGCTGTACCTCGGAAACATACATTTTATTATACATGTGAGTCGCTCGTCGTCAAACTCCTGTTGTTTATCCTACGTTGGATCACACTTGTTAAAGGACAATATTTTCTCTTTTATTGGCTTCTAGTTCATTTAGTTTGTATTTTTTTTATGTATGATTGCACCATGCACAGTTTAGTGTAAGCTAATACTGCTGTTTTTCTAAACAGAAAAATGCCATCTGTCACGCTTTTACATCTTTAATACTTGTAATTTAGTATTAAAGAAGGACAAGTACAATCCAAGCTTCTCTGCATGAACAACTCATAGATCTCACAGCATTGCCTCTCCCTCAAGAAAAATATAACACTAAACGGGCAATATAGTAAATAGCAAAGATAAAGTAAAGGAACTTTCAAATATGTCACTAGCAAATTTCATGAAAAAACATCCAGTCTTGCAGCTCTGTGATCAACAAACAAAATATTGAGTTGCATTATACACACAAATGCATATTATATAGGGTAGACATATGAGTAAAGTAGGATACAGAATACTGGCTTTGGCCTAAATCCAATTCCATTGAACCAATGAGATTCATGTAAGTGTTGACTTAAACTATTAAAACCAGGTGACATACGGCTGATATGAGCAACATTGCGAGATAGGAATGTTCATATTGACTGTTCATACAAGATGTGCAACAGGTCTATAAGAAAAGCATTAAGTAGAAAAACGATCCTACAATATTTCAGAAACAGATGATCAGCCTCTGTGACATTCTGATGTGATGAAAAAGCCTGACCCGCTTCCAGTCTCCTCTAACCCCACTCATCGCCCTCCCAGGTCCCCTGAAAAACAACTCACCTGGATTAATGGTAATAAATCTGTTATCTTTTGGTAAAGGTGTCACGGATGCTGTCTCTGGTCTCCTAGGAATTTCTTGAGTATATTGTTCGTTTGTGAAAGCTGGTGGCACTTGGGTGGAAGGGACTGTTTTGAAATGAGAGTCTGTTTCTGTAACTCCTTCTCTGCTGGGAGTCCTACCTGTTGGGATAATGTTTTCGCTCGGCTTGTGACCAGGTATGGTTTTATTCCCTCCCTCCTCCGTAGTTCTGTTGGGAGCAAGAGTTGTGTTTGTAACTTCGCTGTTATCCTCTACATCCGCGGCCTCGGTCACGGCACTTTTCTCTTTCTTTTCCGAATCCTTTTCCCTCTCTTCTTCATGCTCTCTTTCGCCATCCTCGCTTTCACTTTTCTCGTCCTTGTCTCCCTCCTCTGTGCCTTCGTTGTCTTTTGTGAGGGCGGAGTCACTGTCTGCTCCCGGAGAAGATAAAGCCTCAGTCGTGGCCACAACAGGCCTCGCCGACTGTTTACTGGCAGAAGCAGACGTTGGAAGACGAGTGGGCCAAACAGTGCTGGGAAAAGAGGAAATGCCACTACTACTAAACCCCAGGCCAGCGAGTAAGGTGCTGGTGACCACTGAGGCCACGGTTGCCTGACTCCCACTGGACGAAGGCCCCATTCCAGTTGCCATGGACACAAAGGAAAAAGGGAGGCCTGAGGAAGTCCAAGTGGAAGATCCAGAACTGATGGGAGCCATGTCGGCTGAAGGTGCCGGAGAAGCTGTAGGCTTGAAGAAATCACCAGGGGGAACAAGAGAAGAAAACACAGCAGAAAGAGCATCAGTAGAGGTACCTGACATGCTACCTCGGCTCTTTTTTCCTTTTGATTTCCTTTTCCTTCCAAACACTCCATTCTGCCCATTATTCTGTTTAAATAAGACAAGTACATTTAAACAATTGTAGTTAAATCTAGCTGGCAACAACACAGAGATTCACAAGACAACACAGAAGGCATAAAAGACAGCTATAGTAGATTTGAAAGAGATGCATTTATACATTTCGTGGATTTCAGTAAGTCTGCTGTAATTAGTCTTCACTGGTTTTAATTCATAGTTTTCTATCTTCCTATGAAAGGTTAAGTAAAGGGTAGCAGCGAATTTCACCATTTCTAGCATTAGCCCCCCCCATCCAAACCAGAACAATCTAGCAAACGTTAAGCCCTTGTAAATTTTATTAATTTCTGTGAGATTTAAACGGTACATGCTCAAACCATTCCAATGGAGATAAATTAGATTTAGAACAAATAATTTTGGATGAGTTGTATCTATCTATCTATATTCGGATATATACATTAAAAAAAATCTTGTTACTACTATTTTCTATTTTTCCGATTTCTATTTGCGTTCCGTTGTCACAACATCTTAACTCAGCTGTAACCAACAGCATGATAAAAAACAGTTTTCCTAATGTCCCATTATCTTTTTGTTTGCAAGTAATTTCATTAGATTTAGCCAGTGTATTCATGGGGATATTAAAGGAACCTGATTTGTGACATGCACCTTTAAGAGACAGGAGATCAAAATAGCTGATCTTCACTTTGCTGTTCTGGACTAATAATCTCTGTTTTTATTTGGTACATCAAGTTCTAGCCTCTGATTAAAGAAGGATCAATTTTAATCTGTTTTAATAAGGCATTTACTCAGCATTCTAAATAGAATCTACATTTAATTCTTTTTAAAATATTTGTATAATTTGTTGTTTTCATCTATCTTTTTTAATGCAAGCTGCTTTGGGTTCTTTTATGGAGAAAGGCAAGGTAATATACAGGGCAGAAAAGGACAAAGAGAGGATGATGAGGTTATTAATATTAATGTTAAAATTAATGACATTAATTAGCTTTAATAGACCTCCACACTTACATATGCTATCACAAAGATTCCAACAACCTAATAGGTAAATTTTGTTACATGCCAAGTAAGATATTCCATTTATCCTGATGTCTTGCATTAAATCAATCAATCAATCAATCAATCAATAAACAAACAAACAAACAAATAAATACTGGAAGCTGGACAAAAATGCAAGATATAAATAATGAACCATAACCAGAACTAAAGTTAAAATTTAAAAAGGAACAATGGGAATCCTTTAAAGGGGTTTTAGACATTTTCATGGAGGGCAGGCATAAAATGGTTATTCATCAAAGTGACGAAGCTGAGCCTCCAATTTCAGGTTAATTTGTACTTGAATCCTACGGAAACAGGTCTACGGCCTTCAAGCCGTGCTCATGGGCTTCCCAGAGGCCTCTGGATGGCCACTGAGGGAATCAAAATGATAGAAATGAACTTCAGTTGTACACAAAGAGGTAAATATGAACTCATTTTCTTCACTGGAATAGCTAATCTAAGTTGGTGGCTTTCAGACTTTCTAGAGTACAACTCCCATCGTTCTCTGCCAGCTCCAACCTCATTTGGAAGGCATGTTAGGCTGCTTTGCACTCTGAAGACATTTATATTTTATTACACCTCATAGTAGGAAGAGAAAGGTACTCCAGAAGGGAAGAAACTCATCTGTGAGCTGGGCGTCTACCTAACATGCACCACTCAGAGAAGCCCCATCCTTCTTGTCCTTCCTACCTTTTCAGGCAGGCTTTTAAGCCATAAGGGTCTCAGGAATGCTACAGTCAGTAAACTTAAAAGAGATTTTAAAATCTTTCAAAAATTATTTTAAAATTTGTTTTTAATCTTGTGTTTAATACTGACATATGTTTAATTGCTTCCCCCCTTGCTTATCGCGATTCTATACTATTTTAAACCTGTTGTATAATTTTAATTGTTGTGAGCTGTGGGTCCTGTGTGGGAAGAAAGGAAGAAAACGAACAAGCAAGACTCTTATTTTGAATAGCGATTCTATACTATTTTAAACCTCTTGATTCTTGTATAATTTTAATTGTTGTGAGCTGCCTTGGGTCCTGTGTGGGAAGAAAGGAAGCAAACGAACAAGCAAGACTCTTATTTTGAATTGATTTTTAACTAGAATAAAGATAATGTAACATATGCCTTGTCTCACAGCCGTGCTGTATGTCTGTTGTCTGAGGACCAGACACACTAGTCAAGAGACTGCTATCACTAGAAGGATGGCCACTGGGTGTTGAACTGGCCCCAGGAACTATGCATGGGAATAGGTGCCATTAGCACTGGCGAAAGGGCTGCAGCATCAATGAGATCATAGATCTTCAAAGTACGCGAGATAATTTAAATTAACCTATAATGAATCTACAGTCCTTCCTAATTATGAAAAAGCATGTTTAATGAGGAAATATCTATCTTTTATGATCCTTTGCCAACCTTAATTGATGCACTAAAGTGTGAGTACATGAGGTTAAGTAATCCATGTGAAGTAACCTTGAAATTATGCTATAAGTGGCCCTCTGAGAGTATCTTACCAAAACTCTGACAGAAGTCAAAAGCCCTGTTTAAACATGTAAGGCTAAGTGGACAATGGAGAGGGCGTCATGCTTGAAAGCCCTAGCCCCTCACCATGTTCCCACTGCGCTGGAACGCAACAAGATCCACACAACTGGAGGACCTGATAAGACAAGCTGCAGATCAGCTGGATGTGCTTCTTAGCACTTCTGTACATCTTTGTGTTGAAGACAAGAATGTCCTGCTATCTTTTGGGTGGGAGAGCTCCTAACATTCCAGAAGCCCAGAGGCCGACACAGGGGGGCTGAGAAGTATACAGAGAACAAGGCACGTACTGTGACGTGGGAATAGGACAGGACTTGCCAGCCCTGTCCCCCTTCTCCCCACATTGTTGTCTGGTGCATTGGTACTAAGGGAATTTTAAAGAGACATGCTGCTCTTTAGAGATTCCTGACACACTGGACCTGCGCCTTCGTGGCTTAGTGATGTTTCTTTAATGGGCCTATCTCACTTAAAATGAGCAGGCATTCTGGATATCTGCCACATGTTGTAGTTGCAGTTGCTTTCAAAATTTGTACTGTTTTTTTTTGCAGTTCCAAGTGGGACTAAGTTAAACTTGAAATTAAAATGGTGAGCATGTTCTCACTATATTGAGTCAGTCCCTGAGTTTTTAAAGCATTTATAAATGCTCTCCAGTACACGCTGTTTGGTATACAAGAAATGTTTCAAAAAAAAAAATCTAATTACTTAATACATTCAAAAACATCAGTATAGTCCCAGGACTATACATAGCCTCTCTGAAGGAATATTGAGTTACCCAATAGCGAAAGACATTAGGCAAAATCCTTGGAATCTCTAAATTCCAGCTAAATCTCATTTTATCAGAGATGTACTACATTATACTGCCACCTGCTGGTGGCACAAACACTTTTACATTGATTTCAAAGACTCGGTTCACTTACCACTCCTGTTTTTACTATTCTGGTCCCTTCAAAAATTCTAGTTGTGTTATCTGGTAGGAGGGAGAACAGAAGAAGAAGAAGGTTTAACTCAATCACAAAACTATAAAAAAAATACTACACACTATTTGATTATAAAAGACAATTAAAATAACACAAGTTGTGTTAAAAGTTGTCCATGATGGAAAAAAAGGGAAATGTAAGTAAATGTATTATTAGGAATGAGAGCTGAAGCTTCTTTTTTTGTTACTATTATTCTGGAAATTCAAATTCTAAACTATTACTTTATTTTTTTTTATAAAGGCAGACAATGTCTAACAAAGTTTTGATTTGTACATAAAATTTTGCTGCCATTCTACTTCCCAGCTTTTCCTGCCCAACTCCATCTTATTTCCTGTTTCAGTACTGTACCGTTAGGGAGAAGGATGTCATAATCAAAAAGGAGCTAGTTATCGGAGGGGGGGGGGTGATTACAGGGATGTCAACAGACATTATGAGCACTACACATTAGTGTCACTCAGCTGCTGAGAAACCAGTCTGGCCTTCTACAGATAGCCCATTTTCTATTTTTTGACATTAAAAATCAAACTTGAAGCATAAGTCCTGATATTTATTTTATTTATTTTATTTTATTTTATATCCCGCCTATCTGGTCAATTACGACCACTCTAGGCGGCTTCCAGAGAGCTTTCTTAATTTTTAGAATCTCTTTGGTGAAGGGACGCAAGCTATGGGGCTTGTCATGATAAGCAGAGCCTAGTTATGGGGACTGCCATGCATTTTCAGATTTATCATTATGCCATTACTGATATGACAGGATTTACTATTATTACCCAAAGTTGGGGTTGAGAATGTGGATACAGCAGGTATGAACAGAGCCCCAGGAGAGGGCAAGAAGGAGCTACCACATATCCTTTGGAGAACCTCAACTGTCTAGATAAGTAAATGAAAATATATATTGTTCCCCTGGCTGTCAAACTATAGATAGTGACAGATATGTATCGTATGTCCATGTTGGGAAAAGGAAAGCAGACGTAGGGCTGAATGGCCACCGGCTGGGGTCATTCCCCTCCACTACTTGGTGGTGGAGAAACTCAATGGTCTGAGAACCTAACATATCACGAATCACATTACAAAGGCTCTGCCATTCACATTATATTATTGCTAAACATGCATGACTGCACCTTTATGTCTAAGCACTGCTCCTAAATACCACACAACATGAGTTAAGTCAATCCCCTTTGGAATAATAAATGTTTACTTGCGGAAGGAACATTACAAAAGGAAAGGACAATTCCGTGGCTTTACCTTGAAAGAGCATTGTCTGGCTAAAATCACTGCGCATGTCATTTCGGCAAACTGCTTGAACTCTGAACAGATAAAGGATGTCAGGTGAGACATGGCTAATGATGGCTTTCTGTTTAAAAAAAATAAATGTTATTCAGTTTTATCCCTCCCAACAGGAATGATCAGTCTGCAAAACAGAAAGAACACTTAGAATACATTTTACAAGAGAGGCCAAGCTAACTGGAACCAGGAGAAACACGCCTATTGGATCTGGGTCTGCATTAAGGAGCAGTGCCAAAGGACTGATGAAATGTTTTGAAACAATCAAAAAGTCACCTTTTATATAAGATGAGCATTGGCGCCTGGATAAAAAGGGTGACAAGATGCCCTGCGTAATGATAAAAACCAACCTGGCCTGATCTTGTCTTTGCCAAAGGGGTTTAGGGGGAAATGGCAACACATGGCACGTGCCACTAAGCAGCTGCCTTGCCATAAGAAAGGGCACCCACGCCTTGGCATCCACATCCCTAGGTTGCTGTGAGGAAGGCCCAGTGGCAACACATCCTACTTAAACAGCATCACACATTCTTCATAAATGTCTCAAAAATGGGACTAAGAATTTGGAAGCTATCAAAGGAGGGAGTGTGGATGGGGATTGACATGCCCTGGCTATATCATGTCCTGTTCAGTTGGTTTTAAAGTGTGCAGGTTCTTCACGTGATGAGTTAAAGGAACGACTCAATTTACTCCACTTTCCTCCATGGCTGTTCTCACTTCTTTCCCTGAATACAAGATGGCAGACAACTAGGGACACATGGAATATAAAGTGAACTATGAAGAATGCATGCAGCCAGTGGGCTCACAGAGTAGACTGATAATTCAAGCTGCACTTGCCGAACTTTTTGTTGGCAGGTACTGGACAATTTTCCCTGGGTTGCACACCTACTTAACATGATGCAAAACTAGACTTTACCTTTTGAAAACCCATTTATTTCAGTTGCTTAAAAACTACTTTTCCTTACATCGCAACCTGAGGTTGTTGCTCAAGAGATACTGAACAAGAAAAACAGCTCTTCCTTTTCTTGCTCAACTAGAAAATGATTCTTTGCAGACACTTTTGCATGTTACTGTCCTTTGTGCTGACTGTTCATTTCCCTACATTCACACGCTGGCCAGGCTCCTGCTCTTTAGCCTTGCTGGCATAGAAGGGATAATGCCACCACCAGCAGCATATTGCTATGGATTAAAGAATTCCTGCTTCAGTTTTGGGTTGTGTATAACTGGCTTCTGTCATTTAAACCAGCTTTTAAACTAAAGCTTCTAAACAACTCTATACTGAATTTTTAAAAGGCTCTTTTTAGTATGCCTGACAGCATGTAAATCCTTCTAGAAGGCAGATTTTCTGTGGATGTCAACCAGCCTGAAAGGCCATATGAGACTGCATGCTAGAATTTTGTTTCCAGCGGTGAGCTGACAGACAACATCAACTTCCTTCCCTGAAGCATTTAGATATGACCACGCTCCCAAATCACAACCTTCTTCCTCACTCCAACTTCTTGCCCATAAAATTATTCTCTTTCCTCACATAGCTATTTTATTTTTGATGCCACAATCCCAAAGCAGTAGTTCATGGAACTCTTAAGAGGGGACTTAAAGGATGTTGACAGTGGGTGGATGTCTGGGGAGAATAGAATATAACAGAATCAGGAGGAAGATACCTGTACTTGAACAAGGTGAATATGTAAGCCGGTAATAAAGATCAGATCATCAGATGGAAACATCTGGGAAACAGAAATGGCAACAAGTGGCTTTCCTCACATCTTACTATAAACATTTTGTTAATCAGTGATAATAATGATGATTTTATCAGAAAAATGATAAAACCAGTCCTGAAACTGTTGGAAGAATCAATATGCATACATCTATCCATAGTTAAATAAATAAGGTTATGTCTTCTGTTTACAATTGGAGAGTTTACAGACAGATCCTTTGGCCTGTTATGAATTTCAGTACACACTGACCTGATGTGTAACTTCAGGACTACACAGATCCCTAAAAATTGTGGTACAGATCTTGGCTCAAATGAATGCATGACTCTGTCCCCCTGCGTGTGGGGTTCTGCCGTGACTAGAACCAAAGGGGCTGAAAATGATCATTGTGTGGAGGAGGAAAGCTGCACACAGGCCCACACAGGCATGCACCTTAGAGAGAACCCTGGTTGCAGATTAATGTGGAAATGGAATGGAACATATTTATGAATATGTCAAAAAGGACATGATTCAGAAATACACTGGCCTGTGGATTCTAAAAGCCGGTGTCTCCATCTATAGCATCTGCAATAATCAAGGAACTTTTTATCAAAGAACAAAAACTAATGGAAACCATGCAAATGCTATTTCCCAGGGACGATACTCAATGTTTTTACTATATATTCTCCCCCTAATTAATGCACTCTATTCCTATTACTAATGACAAAGAAATAAAATAATCTCCCTTAAGAGTGTGGAATGATGACAAGTTTGAAATTATAATGCAGCCCTAACCTTGGGCACCTTTTAGGAGATTGCTTTCTGATTTCATGAAGCACATCACTCCCTAATGCGACCCAGATAACAACTTCTAGTGAAGGAAAATTGAAACTAGAAATGGAAATTAAGTAAAAGAACCTCAATCTAAGGAAGAATAGGAGACATATTATTCTATAACTGATTGAATGGCACCCAAAGAGTGTGTATTTGCAAAGGAGCAGAAAAGATAACTGTCATTAGGAATTTCACTCATTGCGGCTGCATTTTTATGTGCATATACAATTAATGATTTCATTATACCAGAAGCTTCCTTTGATTAACAATAAACTCAGCCCTTTCTCAAATGGAATACGCGACTTTCTTTTTATACAAATGGAATTTTAAAGACATTTACAGTTGTCACTTGCTTCTGGATTGATATTCCAGTGCAGTCATGGGTTGCCTAAACTCACTCCTATATTTCTTCCAAAATCTTAGGCACACCCTTAAAAAGCCACAGGGGTAACAACACAACATAGTTCTGAAGGCCAAGCCCCAAAATTGTGGCACTATTAGCAATAGTTAAAGAGCTTTTCGAAGGCAGGCCTTTCATATATGTAAAACATGTAGGGTGCCAGCAAAACACTAATCTCACTGACTCCAAAGAGGACAAGCCCCAACTGCATTACAAGAAAGAGGATCTGCTCGGCTCTTATGTCTACACTGTAGAAAGAAAAAATCACATTTACATGTTTCGGTACTGGAAGATGATTTGTAGACCCTCCACTGATACCATCCAGTGGATTAAATGGAAACCATCAATTGAGTTTAAGCTTTAAATGCATTACATTCCTGTCTTCCACTAAGCACAAACGGAATATTAGCACGACACGAGTTTTATAAGTGGGGCACTAATGGCAATTTCTTTTGTTGCGGTTTACCAGGTCCTTGTCACTGTCCTTGGTGAAAGTCTTCTCCTTTTCATCTTCATTTTTAGTCCAGCTGTAGGAAATCATATAGTTCATAATGGGAGGATGATAGATCATCTCTGGTTGATTCCATGTCACCAGCAAGGCTGTTCTGTTCACGGACTTCACCTTCATATTGACAGGGGGAGTACTACAGACTGAATGAAAGGGAAAAAGAAACAAAGAAATACATTTAAAATATATAAATACCCAAAGACACAGGCCAAATGTTTAAAGAATTAAGAGTAATACTTTATCTTGAATAGAACCTCCTTAAACATATGTGTGTGCGTGGGGGGGGTACTCACTGTCACTACAGCAATTGCTACTATAATTTTTATTTCTGCTTTCCTCCTTCTTTATGGATATTTTTTTCAACCCGTGAAGATGAGCACTCTGTGCTTTGCTTCTTAACCATAAAGGCTAGAAAAGAATAACTGAATTTGCCAATCCAGGAAACCCTGCGATGCAAAGCCTGATGATCAAACTCACTTTCAGAGACGTTCTCAGACCTTGCATTCTGGTGAGGGCGGAGCAGGAAGGACCACAAAAAGCCCCAACATGTTTTAGCTCAAAGTTCCTAAAGCAGAATCTTTTCAACCATTTGGGATAATAGGAAAAAAGACAGAAAAGCTAGGACATCACAGAAGGACAACGTCATGGGAAAGGGGGTGTGCATCCTTCTAGGGAACATAAAGGACCAGAATGGATCTCCAGAAAGACCAAAACTCATCCTGGGGAGGGGGGGTTAATTTCTCCCCATCCTTGTTGTAATCCATCAATCAGGCAGGTCAGACTCATATTTTTTTACAATTGTTTCCACGGGAGGAAAAGCATGACAGAAAACAAGGCCTTTAGGGTCTGTAGCTTTGGCTGGTTCAGAGACAGACTATTAAAATCACAATTCTGTTTTCATACCCTGCACAGTTCAACCTCTACTCAAAGAAAGAAAGAAAGCGAAAAGGAAGGAAACAAACTTCCAACCATCACCAACTGATTTCAGAATAGTTACAGATTTGGACAGCTAAATGTGATTGCACAGAATCAGTACCTATTTTAAAAAAATATATTACACGTCTAAGCCACCTTCTTCCTCTGATGTATTGTCTTGCACTTCATCCATTCAGAGACAGGGAATGACCTAGTCAGTTTATGGCTAGATGGGTGGTCTGAATCTGAATCACCAAACTAGATGCAACCTTTGTCATGTCACTTGTGATTTCAGGACCAAACTTCGTTTTAAAAATGCCCAGCACTATGGGGAGGGGAGCAAGTTCCAGAGATGCTTTGATCTCCAGCATGCATAGCAAATGCAAATGTACTTTCAATCAGACCATTGATGAAGGCAGAAGGTTAAAATACCCTTCCCAACATCTGTTTTCCTGCATTGCCACTAAACAACAACAACAACACAACCATGTAAACCTAAACCATGTAACAAACACTGGTTAAATCCTGTTGCAAAGTTTTCCAACAGAAAGGCAATTGCATAACTTGCAGCAGCAAATTGCTCCTAATTAACGAGCCTCTGCTTGATTTCCTGTACATGTACCAAAAGTCTCAGGTGCTGAGCAATGAGGACTCAGGAATCGATGGCAATCTGCCAACACAAGTTATGTGGTTGCCCTTCCTCCGGCATAACTGTACAGCAAAATTTTGGCCACCATATCTAGCTGGAGTCCAGCACTCTTCCCACTATGTAACACCCTGGTACCTAAAGTCATCTGCACTGAAAACAATTCCACTGGTGTGTAAGGCCGTTTGTTCCAGGAGAATCTAGTTATAATTTTTAGTCTATATAAAATTAGAATAACATCAGTCCAACAAGTGAGGAATTATTAAATCACCAGTGTTGCCATAATGAGGTCACAGTCTCAAGCTGTTTGACACGGGTCATGTTACTTATATAAAAATGCCTGAACTCAGGCAGCCTTTATTAAGAAAATCTTATAATAATTCATCAGAAAAAAAAACACATTTCATCTTCTCGGGTTGGAAACCTCTTTCTGCTTAAGAAACTAATATTTTAAAAAAACATGCCTTTTTCCTGAGACATCCCTTTTCATCACTCCTAAGAAACGTACTGTGAATTTAAAGTCTATTTCCCTCATAGATCAACATGGCTGCCTGTTTTTATACTACTCTCCCGCCCCCAACCCGCTAATTGCCTAAAATGTGAACCAAGATATGACACAGACAGCTATGAATATACTTATCTATAGCAGTGGTTCTTAACCTTTGTTACTCAGATGCTTTTGAACTGCAACTCCCAGAAACCCCAGTCAGCACAGCTGGTGGTGAAGGCTTCTGGGAGTTGCAGTCCAAAAACACCTGAATAACCCAAGGTTAAGAACCACTGATCTATAGTATCTAATTCTTAAGGAATTTCCAGAGGGTAGAGTGGGGTGGGACAGATATAAAGGCTAACCAATTTTCTATGGCATAGGGTTTCGTGGACTGTAGCCCACTTCTTCAGATGCATCATGAAGAAGTACGGGCAGTCCCCAGAAGTTTCTGCAGCATAAAAAGTGTTAGCCTTTATGGTGTCACAAGACTCATTGCTGCTTCATTTTTAAAGGCACTGCTACAAACTCTTCCTTTGGATTCTCAGAGATTGAATGGTCGAGAATTCTCTGTCTGGACCTACTATGTATGGTCACCGATAAACATGTTAAAACGAGAGCTCTGATACACAATAATGAGGCTTGTTTTTCCTTCTTTCTTTTCTTTCGCAGAGTCATACACACTACTTGCAAATGCTAAAAATTTACGTAGCTGTAGCCAATAATTTCTGATACTGAGGAAAGAATTACAAATGGTGATCATGATTAAATAACTCTAGATCAATGTGGACAAGCTGAGGGTAAACACATCCATATTCCTGCTAGAAAGCAAACAAAATGAATGACTTGTACGTGAAATAAGAAGTGTGCCGTTTACAATGGCTGAATGTAGTGTGTTCCCCCCCCACCCTCTTCAGAGACTGAATTGAAAATGTCTTAAGAGTAAGCGCTAGGTGGCACTAACAGGCCACTGATAAAGCACTGCACTTTCTGTGGGATAAAAAGTGGGATTTTTCAGATTCGGAAACTGTGATTCACCCAACGGAATATCAGGAAAGGTTCTCCAACCTTCTTGCCCAATTGTCTCACCTGCAAATTGGAGAGAAGGCCAGGGAAAGGGGCACATTTGCTGACAGCTGACGTTCAAGGTGTCACTCGCCATCCTTCCACATGCATACACAGAGCGTTTTGTGAATTCTGTTTGGTTCCCCAGACACTGTTTTCAATGAATTTTTAAAATAATTTTCTGACATAGGCCAGAACACAGCCTCATATTGCCCATTCTGCAGTCAGAGGTCATGATATTACAGGACAAGAAGGGGGGGGGAGGTCCAGAGGACAGTAGTGGGCTTGCGCTAGTGTGTCAATAGAGAGAGAAGACAATGAGGGCCTGGATGCTCTACTGAATCACAGTGTAGGGAAGTGGTGGGAATCTGCACACATGGAGGAGGGGGAGAGCACATGATTCCATGTCCCTGTTCCCGATTGACAAACCATCTGCACATCCTACAGAATGATACTATGGCAAACCATTTTATTCTTTTTTTTTTACTCTGATTCTGTGTTAGGTTTGATTAACATTAATAGGAATTATGCCTGATGTGAGGGTTTTCCAGGCATGTTGCCAAGCACAGGAAGGCATGACATACAGTACAATGGCATCCCAGGGGTTTCCTGTAGCAGTGTTAGAGCTACTGCTGGTTTATGGGATGGCATAGGCGACTTGCAGCAGTATCTATTTCATTTGTTTATTATTGCATGCTGGAGATCTACCACCTGAAATCAGGAGAAAAATTATTTCTGAGACACTAAATTTGTTTGAGTGATGCAATTAATATTTTACAGTTTTTCTGAAATCCACATAAATGGGTGTATCAACATAGTGAGATGCCCTGTCATAAAGCTGTCAAATGCTGTGAGATGTTTCCTGCTTGTGAGAGAGAAGACCAGCATGATTTCTCCAACAACAGTGACAACATTAACAAAAAGCTTTGTATTTTGTGCTAAAAACTTGAAATGTGACAAAGTATGTTTTCTTGCATAAAACAGAATCTTTTTTTGCACCAAATATGTACCAAGCAAAAAACAACAGATATTGAGCTAAAAAGGCCTGGAATGCAACAAATATAGAAGTCGCCAGTGGAGAGAAAAGTCTCATCCTTTGAAAATGGAACAAGCAAAGATTCCCAACTCCTACTTTTGAATAACAGAATTAATGATACTCATTAAATGACATCCATGGCTACCCCAAGCTTTCTTTAATAGTACAAATTAGGATTTGTGGAGAAAAGGGAGTCTTTGCTGAACACCTGGGACCAGCAGTCTTTGTGTATCTACTGCAGATCACCCAGAAAGTTGCCAATAGATATAGATCCATCTTCCTTCCACTCCTACTTGATAGGAATTTTTCCCTTACAAAACAGAAAGATGCATTCAGCAACATGGCTTCAGCCCTACATATTGCTAGAAGAGCTTCAGACTCCATAATAATGTTATTTCACAGTGAGGATGCTTCATTAACTGCATGATTTACTCAGTCATTGCCCCATCCCTAAACCTCAATTATTTTAAGGCTCAGGGGGGAAGTGTACTATGAGAAGAAATAACTTGAATATTTGGACTGATGAGTATGCAAAAATAAGTATACAGTTTATTAATTTAGCTGAACCTGCTAAGCTGGCTGGATAGCTCTGTGAGTTGGGTAGCTGGCTACAGAGCCTGAGGTTGGGAGCTCAATTCCCCAAGGTACCTCCTGGTAGAAGAGCCAGCCTATGTGGCCTTGGGCAGGATGCAAAGTCCCAGAGCACCCCCAAAAGAAGGGAATGATATACCATTTCTGAGTACTCTGTTGGCAGACAGGCCTGGAAGTGATTTGATAGTACTGTACATAATCATTACTAAATATGCTGAGAACAGACAGTACAAAAAAACTTTTTTACTTCTTAATCCCACTCAGTGAGTTAAACAAATTGTTACATAAGAAAGTAGTTGCAAATGTTCCCCAGTTGTAGGATGTAACCCACAACGGCTTCACTGGCTACCACTCTGTTCCTAGGCACAATTCAAAGTGCCGATTATGACCTATAAAGTCCAAT